ATCTACTCCATTATGTCCTTGGAATAAACTCCCAGAAGTAAAATTGTTATGGAAAAAGATAATTAAATTTTGAAATGTACTGCCAGACGGTCCCCTATAAATATACCAATATACACTCCTTCTGGCAGCATGGAGCATCCATTCTCCAGATCTCTTGCTAACATTCAGTGTTTCAATCTTTCTTATCTTTGCTATTTGGATAAATGAAATATGACAGCTCAGCTTAATGTGATCATTTGAAAAGTCATGGGGTGGGAAAAGACAGACTGGGAGTTCGTAGTTTGTTGATACTGACAGGCATATGTAGAACAGATAAACAAGATTATACTACCTTTCTCTTTTTGATTCACTGAAATGACACACTGTACTGCTTTTGGAATTCTTTACATTATTTTTTGCCTCAACTGTCTAACTCTTTACTTGCATCTGACCTGTGCCTTTTCATTTTTCCCTCAGGAACAAACCATACCTTCCCCCTCTCCTGCCAAGCTGTCTTTCCTTTAGCTCTTTCACTCCAGCAGAAAAGAAAGAAAGGAAGGAAGGAAGGAAGGAGAAAGAAAGAAACAATAATTCTGCACTAGGGTAGTGTATGTTCATTATTCCTGATAGAAAATACCAAAAAGATAAAAATCACCCATAATTTGGGGGAGAACATAGCTCAGTAGTAGTGTCCGTGCGTAGCATGCACAAAGTCCTGGGTTCAATCCCCAGTACCTCCATTAAAATAAAAACCTAATTCCCCCCACAAAAAAAGGTTAAAAAAAAAAACCAAAAAACACCTGTAATTCTTCTTCCAAACTTTTCTAAGCATAGATAAATATATTATTCCTTTTAGTTTTCATTTTTACAATTTTGAAATTCTGCTGTAAATACTACTGTACTGTATTCTCAACATACTATGAACTTGGCTGTATGTCATTAATCATACTCTTACACCATCTCCAAGGTACACAATATTTTATTGTATGGTTGTACCAAATTTTACTCAATTGATTTCAGTGTTTTTTTAATTTTACATTTAATCTTTTAAACCATATGGAATTTATTTTGGCATACAGCACAGTATAGATCTAAAAAGGAAACCATCATCAAAACATAAAGACAACCTACGGAATGGGAGAAAATATTTGCAAATGATGCAAATGACAAGGACTTAATTTCCAAAATCTGTAAACAGCTCATACAACTTAACAACAACAACAATAAAAAACCCAATCCAAAAATGGGTTCTCCAGTGAAGACACACAAATGGCCAATAGGCACATGAAAAAATGCTCAATATCACTAATTATCAGAGAAATGCAAATTGCAAATCAAAACTACAATGAGGTATCACACCAGTCAGAATGGCCATCATTCAAAAGTCCACAAAGAATAAATGCTGGAGAGGGTGTGGAGAAAAGGGAACCCTCCTACACTACTCGTGGGAATGTAGTTTGGTGCAGCCATTATGGAAGACAGTATAGAGATTGCTCAAAAAATTAAAAATAGATTTACCATATGATTCAGCAATCCCACTCCTTGGCATGTATCAAAAGGGAACTCTTAATTCAAAAAGATGCATATACTTCAATGTTCATAGCATAAAAAGTCATAGTATATTTATACAATGGAATACTACTCAGCCATAAAAAAGAATAAAATAATGCCATTTGCAGCAACATGGATGGACCTGGAGACTGTCATTCTAAGTGAAGTAAGCCAGAAAGAGAAAGAAAAATACCATATGATATTACTGATATGTGGAATCTTAAAAAAAAAAAGACACAAATGAACTTATTTACAAAACAGAGAGACTCAGACATAAAAACTCATGGTTACCAAGGGGGAATGGGGGTGGGAAGGGATAAAATGGGAGTTTGAGGTTTGCAGATACTACTACATATAAAATAGATAAACAAGTTTATACTGTATAGCACAGACAACTATATTCAGTATCTTGTAATAATCTGTAATGGAAAATAATCTGAAATATATATATATAACTGAATCACTTTGCTGTACACCTGAAACTAACAATATTGCAAATCAACTAAACTTCAATAAAAAGTAAAATAAAAGTAAATACAAATTAAAAAAAAATAAAGTCTAGGCGCAGTTTTAACATCCTGGGTTTGTCTGTTTCCACGTGATTAGACACAAGTTAAATTTCCTTAAACAAGAATATGTATATATACAGATGGTAGCTGTGTGCTTCCAATTGCCATCACATCACAGACACAACCCCAGGTTACTCCAATATAGGGGATAAGTTTGATAACTTGGTTAAAGTGGTGACTATAGGTCTCTCACTGTAAAGAGAGATAGAATACCCTATCTCTTAAGAACTTTTCACCCAGTGGTTTCAGCATCTATTAATGATTCTTGCCTGAATCAATTATTACATTTGCAATCACAAAAATGACTTTCTAATTTTATCATTCCTCCTACATTTATTGTCTAGCATTCTTCAGTGAAGTAGAAATACTTCACTCCCCCGTTGTTTTCCTTTTTAAATATCATTATGAACTCGAAGATTTGTTTTAACCTAGTGTATTACAATCCATTACCATCACTTTTTTCAAATTGTCCCAAATGTGGCTAATGGGGTTCCCTTCAACTCTTCATCTGTGTCATTTAAACACAATTCTATTGGCTTTTGAGGCTACTTCCTGTACAAGATTTTTCCAAGCTCACCTTTCACCATCTCTGCCCTAGACCTGGAATCAGCCATTTCTCCCTGGAAACTCTGTTCCTTTAAGTGGACAAAGGCGCTTAGGATCTGAGCACTAGGGTTCTTCATAGCTACTGGGGTGTCATTGCTTAGGTCACTTCAGTAGGCAAAGTTGGGGATTTTTTTTTAAACATTCATGAGTTTATGTAGCTAATTTCAACTCAAATTCAACACTATGGTTTTTCTTTTTTCTTTTTTTTTTTAAATGGAGGTACTGGGGGTTGAACCCAGGACCTTGTGCATGCTAAGCATGGACTCTACCAATGAGCTATTCCCACCCATCTAGGTATTTTATATTAGTACTGTATCTTTTCCCTCATATTGAAAATCTTGCTCCATAAACTAGTTTTAAAATTATAACATCAATAATACTAACAATAAAGAGTTAAAAAGAACTTACAATCTAGTGTTTGAGAATGTAAAACACAAGAGTTATATAATACAGAAAATTGATATTTTAGAATCAGAAGAGACCTTAGTGATTATTTTGTCCTGTGGTTCTCAAATGTAGCTGAAAATGAGAATCAAACTTGTTAAAAACATATTCTTGGGCCCCATTCCGCAGAGACTCTGATTTAGTAGATCAAGAGTGGGATCCAAGAATGTGAATTTTTAAAAAACTCCTTAGCTGATCCTGTGGACTGGCTATGTTTGGGAACAACTGATCTAGTATACCCTTTCATTTCATGAATGAGAGATTGAATCATAACAATATTCTTTTTTAGAATATTCTACCAGATTATAATCTTAGAGTAGGGAGGCCTTTTTAATCAAGACCAAAACCTCAAAAGCTAAAAAAGAGAAAGGCAAATCTGACTATAAAAAGACTTTCAAATTTTTTATGGCAAAGGATCCTATAAAGAAAAACAAACTTGAAAATTTGTATTTGCAACAGGCTACAAAGATTTATGATCATAATACTCACTGAAGGCTTACTGAAAATGCATGAAACTAACCCAGCAGAAAAATGGGCAAAGGATGGAAAAAAGAGGCAAATACCCAAAAAAGAGCTTGGTGAAACTATACTGATAGGCTACAAAATAGAACTTAAGGCAAAAAACTACGTAAGTTGGGCAAAGCATAACATTTGAAGATATACGTTGTCAGAACCACTTCTCTTCCTTATTTCTACTTTGAAAGAAAGCCTTAACAAGAGATGCAAGAGAGAAGAGGGCATTCCAATTCCATGGAAAAGCTGAAATGCCTCTGATTCCACATCCCTCCTCCTTCCTTCTCTATGAATTGCTAAGGCCAGGTTTATAGGCTGGCAGATAAAAGCACAAGGACAGTAGTGATAAGATTGTAATTGCTCGGATATATGTTCCTGTCTTCTCCACATGACACTCCTAACTTACTGCTGTTAGTATCTTTTCATCAATATAACTTATGTCCAAGAACACCACAGAAAAGACTACATTACGGTGACTTGGATTTAAATTAAGACTTAAGATTTTCCATTCAATTTATCACTGTCTAAAGACCCTTAAACAGTTTCCTTTACAACTTTATCAATCAAATTACCTAATTTAAAAAATTATTAAACAAAAAGAACAATAACTCTTTTACTCACTACTTAGTTTAAAATATAAAACAAGACAATATAGTTGAATCTATTACCATCCTAAGTTTGATATTTCCATCAAACATTTTAAACTATACTTATAATCTTAATATATTTCTTATTTTAGCACTTGAATTGCCTACCAAGCAATCTTTAAGTACTCAAAACAAAACTCTAGTAAATCCTAAAGAATTAAACTCGTAAATCTGGTATATCTCAAGAAGTTCTTAAATACTGTAACACTCTCAAACAACAAAGTTTTCTTACATCCTTAAACCAATAATCAAACCAAAACATAATTACTCAAGAACACAGTTTACATTAGAATTACAAATTAATCAGTTGAGATTCTTCAATATGTCAAATGACCACAAACATCCCATCTTAACTTAAACTTTAGTGATTTAACATATATCGTGCACTACATCCTATTCTAAGTATTTTATAAATGTTACTTAATACTCAGAAAAAACTTCATGAAGTAGGTGGTATTTTAGCCCCATTTATAGATGAGGAAGCTGAGGAAGAGGTTAAGGGAAGTTCCCACAGTCACATAGCTAATAAACAGTGGAGCCAGGCTTCAAGTACTGAGGCAAAAGAGCACACATCGAAAATTCTGCAGACAATCCAAAATCACTGTATCAGAAGATGGTTCAAGGACCATCAATTTGTGTCAAAAGTTTTCACTGATTCTTAGCAAAAATGAGGACAATATAAATAATGCAGCACACACACTATTATCACAGTTCTAAGACATCTGACATTGACTAAGACATCATCAATCTAATAACAGCATTTTAGGAATAAGTAGCACTATCATATTAAATGTATACGTGATTTTAAGATACATCCTATTTCAAAAATATTAAAAAGGTGAACTGAAGAATTATGATAGATGTTAGTATAATGCTTTCTTGGTACTTAAATTGTATCTTTACTGCTTTTTTGATGTTAAATGTCTTTTCTTTTATAAAAAAATGGTGACAGAAAATGATAGCCAGAATTTTTTTTTAATGTCCTAAAATGCTGGTAACTTTATGATGGGTTCCCAATGCCCCACAATTTTATAATCATAAATTTCAAAAAACAAATCTGGAACCCAGTCACCTTCTAGGACTAGAAAAACATTTCTACCAGTTCAGTCCAGTCTACCTAAAAATATCCCAAAATAGTCTCCTGCTTATTAGCTCACCGTAGGAGCAATGGACAGCAATCGGACAGCAATTCCTGGGGGAAAATTTTTTTTCTTGTGCTGAGCTGAAGTCTGCCTTCCTTCCCTGCACCCACCATGACTTCCATGCACTGGTTAAGTCCTGTCCCCTGGAATAATTCATCCATCTGAATGGGACAGGTGAAACAGGAAAAAAATCTGTTTGAAGGCATTAGACAACTAGTAAGGTAGCCAAGACTCAAAAGACTGAATCTTCAGAGAAGCTGTGATGGTCAGTTTCATATGTCAACCTGGCAAGGCTACTGTCCTGGTTATCCAACCAAACACTAAGCCAGGTGTTACTGTGAAAGTATTCGGTAGATGTGATTAAAGTTATAATCATTTTAGTTTAAGGACGGGAGATTATCCTAGATAATCTGGGTAGAACTGATCCACTCAATTGAAAGGCTTTAAGAGCAGAAATGAAGTTTCTCTGAGGAGGAAGAAATCTGACTGTGGAATGCAGCTTCGACTCCTGCCCAAGAGTCCCAGCCTGCCCTTCCTGCTGGCCTAGTCCAGTCTCCACGATCCTATGTGCCAACTCCCTGCAACAAGTATCTTAATGTATGTGTGTGTGTTTAACCACAAATAGACAGATGATCTACATTATTCTGATGATACGTAAATTCTACACAGAAACATAATCCATAATTAAAACCTTTCCTTAAGGAAGATTCCCTGACCAAATGACTTGACCAGCAAATCCTTCCACACTTTTAAGAAAGAAATTACATCAATCTTATGCAGCCTCTTCCAGAGAAGAGAAAAAGAGGGAATATATCCAAATTACATAAGACCAGCATAACACTGACCCAAAACTTGACATAGTCATTACCAAAAAGGATTACAGGCCACTTTTTCTCATGAGCATAAACTAAAAGTCCTAAACAAATTATTAAAAAAAATCAAATTCAGATACATTAAAAAGGATACTACATTAGGACAAAGATTAGCTTAACATTCTAAGATCAATTAATTTAATTCACTACGTTAAAAGACTAAAAAATGTTTTAGAATAATTGAAATAGCAAGAAAGAGTACTGCTAAACTAGGTTTAAAAAAGGCAGGCTAAAACAATATAGTCATAGAAAAAAGACTGAAAATATTAATAATTATTCTCCCTTAATTACAGGCTCATATGTGATCTTTTTTAAAAAAAACTTTTTATTGAATATTCCAAAGTCTGTAAAATGAATGTATTATTACTCTTAAAACAAGAAAAAAGGAAAATGTAGCTCTAAAAACAGAACTCTTCAAGAAAATGCTGGATTTTTTTTAAAAGCTTAAAACAGTTTAAGAGAAATTTTTTAAAGTTTAAGAAAATTATATATTACTACATCTATAACTAATACATATATATTACTAAAGAGATTTTGATATTTTTCCATCTAGATTAAAGGAGAAACATTAGAAATACCAGACAAATTAGGAATTTAGGTTAAATATAAGAAATAGCTTCTCAAGTAGATTATTCAATAGGATGACAGAATAATCCTGGTAGCTTTAAATCCAACACGACTTAATGCAAAGGTATGGTGTGCTTGTTTCTTAGGATACTCAACAGCAAGCATGGTTCCAAGGAACAGGTGGAAGGTAGGCTAGGTAAGCAGGCACAGGATGAAGGATGCAGTATGAGTCCCAACACACAAGGCATTCAACAGTAAAGGCAACGGAACATTCAGATTACCTGGCATATAATTCTCTAAACAGACTGTTATTAGGTAAATTAAATTGTGTTCCCTCAAAATTCACATGAAGTCTGTTAACCTAAATCCTCAGAATGTGACTAAAAACAGGGCCTTTAAAGAGGTGATTAAGATTAGGGCCCCCTAATCCAATACAGCTGGTGTCCTTTTAAGTAGAGGAGACCAGGACACAGGCAGGGAGGGAAGATCCACCATGTCAAGACACAGGCAGAAGGCAGCCACTACAATAAAAAGAGAGAGGCCTCAGAAACCAACCCTGACAAAACCTTGAACTTGAGGACTTCCAGCCTCCAGAATTGGAAAATTTCTGTTGTTTTGAGTCACACAGTTTGTGATACTTTTTTATGGCAGTCCTAGCAAACTAATACACAGATACAACTGCAAAAATTAAATTTCACCCTGTCCCACCAAAAAGAGATTTATGGCAAACACGTGTAAGGATTTTTTTTTATAGTTTTAAGGTATAGACTGATCTTTATATAAATGTAAATTGTTAACTGTTTTATTCAAAGGAAGGTGAACTTTCTTTAATAATCTTAACCAAAATGTGTCACAGATCTTTCCACTATATTCCAGTGTTTTTCAAAACCTTAGTAAGGCCCTTCCTGTGTTATAGTAAGAACAGAGATAAAGTTTACTTTATATCTACACTTATCATAAAAGCCTTAATATTTCAACACTGGAAAGGACAATCTGAATCTAAAGAAAACAGTATCTTAAATGAAAATATTTTAAAAAACAATTAACCACCAGCATCTCCTGAGAACTTATAATGGTCAGGAACATTTCTAAAAATTGTTACATGAATTAACTCAATCCTAATAACCCTCTAAAGTAGAGATACCATTACAATCTCTATTTCAGAGACACAG